CTCGAAAAATATGGTGACTATTTATGACTCGAAAGATAAAATGACCGCTTCTGACTCGAAATATGCATTGACCGCATCTGGCAAGAAATATATAATGGCTGTCTGTGACTCGAAAGAAACCCTGACCACCTCTAGCTCTTAGGATACCATGAATACTTATGACTAATAAATATTTAAAAAAAGCATGATTGCTTATGGCTCAGAAAAAACCATGGCCACTTCTGACTCTAACGATACCAAGCCTGACCTACTTTGACTCCTAATGCCATGTCCATTTCTTAATTGGAAATGACCATCTTCTACTAGAACGGTGCCAATTTAGTCAACAGATTATCCTCACTGAACATCGAACCATTCAGTCCGAAGTGCTCGGATCCCCTCTTTAGTAATCCAGCAGTGTGTAGCAACTGACGACACCCGTTTTGTGTTGGTTTTTAAGTTAATTCTTCTTGGGCTTCCTGTGTCTGGTCACATCGCTTTTAACATGTTATTTTTGGGGCCTAGTCATGGTGGCTGATTCACAGTCATCACTGGGATCCCACAAACTCGTAATTCTCAAAGAGCATTCAGAAGTTCACCTTGGTCCATGGGTAGTCTGCTTCTACATTAGCTTCACATGCAAGCCCATCAGCTTGCTCATCTCCTTGCACATCTGTGTGTCCTGGTATGTTTCAGCCCGAGTCGCTTCATAAACCCCATGTCTTCGAACCCAGCCCAACTCTCTGTCTCCCTGAGCACACTCACTGAGTCAATGAGAAACCATGAGCAGGAAAAGCTCTGTGTCTCTAACCATGTTTTTGTTTTGGTCACTGCCATGACCTCATTAGACAGACTACTTGTGGTCAAGACAACAGCTGCAGAATCATGCTTCGCATTTCTAAGTTCAAGGTGAGCTGTAAAAAGCCCACGAGCTTCTCACATGCCGAAACTCAGTTCCATAAAGCGGCGCCTAGTTCACATCTGTATGCAGGAAGATCTTAGCCACCTTCTCGTGATCACGTATGTACTGTGTAACGTAAGAGAAACCTTCTTGGATAGGTTCGAAACAAACATTCGTGTAGACTCTAGTGAGTTAATTCTATCGACAGTCTGAGAATGAAAAGCATAAGATTAGATAATCAGCTGCCTAGACTTATGTTTCTGAAGATTAGAAGAACAAAATGTCTGAAATTTCAATTTATAGACTCAGCGGAGATGAGACGAGATGAGTAGGTGTACAGTCTTATAATCTTTCTTAGATAGAAGTAGACGAATAAAATATTTAGATCTTATAATTTTTCAGTGGAGGAAAATGCGAAGACTAGATTTGTTATCTTATAATCTTCTTCGAAAAGCGATTCGATAAGCAGATGTCTTATTTTATCACTTTGAAAACATTTTTTTAGAGAGGTAGCAAAAGTATATGTGCTACCTTATTATCTATCCGAGAGAGAGAGAGAGAGAGAGAGAGAGAGAGAGAGAGAGAGAGAGAGAGAGAGAGAGAGAGAGATTTTATATAATGGAGAGCTATAGGATAAGTCGATGCAGTGTTTCAAAATATATAATTTTTCTCTTCCCGACGAAATCCACCCATCTATGGATTGTCTTGATCCCACTTAAGTTAATAAACTCGGTGACAGTGTGCTGTTTGCATATCGACAAGAGAGTTAGTTTTTTAACATTGTTTCTAATTAAAGTTATTAAAAACGTTCTCTGTATGCAATCGGCAAGACCCGATTTATTCACGTATTATATACTATGTATGCATGCATGTATAGATGTAATTATGTTTGTGTGTACGTAGATATGTATGTATGTAGGTATGTTTGTGTTTACGTATGTTTGTCTGCGCGTTTGCATGTGTATGTATGTATGCATTTATTGTTGCATGCATGCATTTTTTTTGTGTGTGTATTATACTGTATGTGAATAAACAGCGATATATCAATCCTATTAACATTTTTTTTTATTTTTTGCCTCCTCAGGTGTCATTGTGCACTCTTCAGAAAGCTGAAAAGGAGAGAAAGTTCATGATGTATCGCTTTTGTTTGGATTGTTAGACACAACGACGATTGCATTTATCTAAAACTGGGTCGGCTGTTCCTTCACTGGAACCGCTTCCTGTTCCAGCCCTATTTATCAGTTTCTGAAAGATTTCACATAGGTGCCTAACGACTGATATCTGACGTTTAGTGAGCTCACATATATCAGCCTATTTCGTTTATACGTGTTATGCCCTGGGCGTATTTGAGATCAATGCTGATCTCATACAGTGATGGGATTCGTTTGCAATATGTGACATACAAGTGTCTACGTATTGGAATGTCCTATGTCTGCAGTGGATACAAGATTTTTAATGTTCGTGATATTGGAATAAATAATTCGTTGAGATCTCCTCATGATATTATTGCAGTGGATTAATAATATGTGTTCTGGTAGTGATTTCGTTACTAGACAAAGATAATCGAGCTACGAAAAATATTAGATCATACTCTAAACATCTACATATAGACCAAAGTCGCAATTTTAATATATACCAATCTCTTCTCGGCATTTCCTGCACTTTATATTTCCAGACATAATAATGTTTCACTGAGTACATCCAGCCACAGTTTTTTTTTTAAGAACTAATCTTGTAGTGTGATTGATTATTGTAGGAGCTAAGCTTTTTTACTTGCAGCATAGTCAGTGTGAGCTGACGATATATTTTCCCTATCAGCTGCATTTTCAGTGCGGCTGTGTGGTCACGATATAGTCAGATTGTGCACATTTACACTATAATCCATGTACTCTAGATAGTACCTGATCTCTCCCTTTTTGGAAAATTCTCGTTGACACCAAATTTACCTGTTCTGTTATGTGGCGAAGTAATGGTTCCATACGTGCAATGTGGTAAGTGTGCACTAGACCCACATATTGCTAGACCCACATATTACTAGACCCACATATTGCTAGACCCACATGTTCCCTATGAGCTATGTAGACAGCGCATAACATGAACAAAGCAATCAGAAGCAAGTTTGAGTTAAACCTTCGTTTAGTTTGGTAATTCATGATAGTATGCTTTGCAACACATTTGTGTTATTCCTATACTTAAGCGGCTATGTTCTATTGGAGTGAATCGTGAAATGTTATTAAGTGAATAGTCAAAGTACCTATAGATTGCAGGGAACAGTGAAGTGGTCTCTGGAACATTGTTGCAAATGCATCTAACAACTAGAATAACTTACAATGAAGGCTTGCGAAACCAAAGCATTACAAGTAGCTTATTAAAAAGAAAGAAACAACAGCATTGGGAACTTTTTTCTATCTTGATAGATCCGTGCTGAAAGAAGTAGACGCAGACCCAGAGAAACAGTGCTGGATAATCAGAAATTATAATGTAGAAAATATCAACAGGATTACCCATAACACCGAGATAGGGACTGTATAGTTACTTTTGCCAGTTTGTCGATAAACTTGAGTTTTGTGTGTGTGCGTATTTGCAACCAGTTGTTGTTACGTATTGTTAACTAATGCAACGATTAAAAGTGAACTATTGTTGTAATTAATAATTTAGGACCATTATAATTATTAATGTAGTGATTTTTGTTATAAATAGACAGCACTTTAATTTACACGACTAACACTGGGAATATAGACCTAATTCAAATGCATTTAAAAAAATCCAGTGGCATGAAAAGCTGTTGAATTTACGTCTTTCAAACTGTAGTAGGTTAGTTTTAAAATTTATTATAGAGAGTCTTGTTAGTATCTTCAAAATGATGATTCCTCATTTGTCTGCATGCTGCAATGGCACTAGACTTAGTTCGTAGAGGCACAGCGCTCAAGATTCAGGTGTCAGTTATCGATCAAACAATCGGGTACCAGTTATCGACCAATCAATCATTCATGTGTCAGTTATCGATCGGTCAATCAATCCGGTGCCAGTTATCGTACAATCAGTAAATCCGGAGCCAGTTATCGAGCAGTCAGTCACTCAGGTGTTATCTCAACAACGAAGGTTGGCTGAAGCAGATCTCCGACACGCTTCTGTAGGAGCGAACGGCAGGGTCCCAAGTATTTTGAGCATACAATGTATAAAGCGGAGGACATACATAAATGCCCATTTTAAATAAAAGAACATGCGGCGAAGGAATTATTTAGACATGTCATTTTTTTAAAAGAACATTGAGAATAGATGGTTCAGAAAACTGGTTCAACCGACTACATTTACAATTTTTCGGATGGTGGAGAACACCAGAAAAACGTTGTCCTGAGCCTGAGGATTTAAGGTCGCATGGTTAGCGCATCTACCATAAAATCTGCAGGTTACGATTGTTGTGTGAGTGTGTGTCTGTGTGTGTGTGTGTTCCTACAGAAAAAAATCTCAGTCACATTACGAGTATTTGAAAACAGGTCACTAACATGAAAGTATCACGACAAGATATCAGACCACACGGAAAATAGAACCAGTTATCTTCACAATATTACAAAACCTAAAATGACAAATGAATGCTGCGACTAGAGAGCCCTCATTAGCACATTAAATAAATCTATGATACTACTAAGTTCTAGAATGAAAGCCCAATGTTCTAACTACTTAGACAACCGCCCTACTGAGATTCAGTAGGTAAACAAACATGTGGAAAAGGAAAGTTATTTGAACGTATATATATCTTAATAAATTGCGCGAATAAGGTAGCGATGTAACACGCAAAAAACAAAAACAAAAATAAGCAGTCAGTGCATTGAGCAAGAGAAAATAAAGATACATTTTGCAGTCAAAGCACACTGAACAGATTGAGGTGTAAAATCGCATGTTCTAGACAAAGGTAGTGAAACAGATGAAAATACATAAACTTTGTTTCTTGTCAACAAAATGAGTAAACAAACATTGCCATTCATCATATGTGTAGACTGTGTAGCATACACTGTGCAGTCTAATTAATGCTACAAGCATGCAAATCCCAAACACCTCACATCTTGCACGATGTTCCTGTTAGAGAATGAGATTCTTACCACCAACCCATGACATCGCCATGGTGTCCGGCCTAGTCATTGGCGTGGTGTCTTCCATATTTCTGTGCGCTGTGATACTGCTGGTGCTGGTCGGTAACACGCTTGTGGTGCTTGCTGTGGCCACTACACGCAAGTTGAGAACCGTCACCAATGTGTTCATAGTCAACCTGGCTTGCGCTGACTTACTGCTGGGCGTGCTTATTTTGCCTTTCTCTGCTGTACTGGAGATCAAAGACGTCTGGATCTTTGGGCAGATATGGTGTCAGGTAAAGTAAATATTATATTATGAAATGTCATATTAAATCATTACGTATCATCACAATCATGATTAGTGGGTGTGGGGGGGGGGGGAGATAAGGAACCTGAATTTAATAGATGGGGGTTAGAATTCGCCATTTCAAGTGATTTACGATCTTGCATCTGGTCTATACATTCTGTGAGTTGTACAATATGTACCATAAATGAACACTGGTAAGTCATCAGTAAATTAGGTTCATGAACAGCGATGATGTGGTCATGCGCAATTTAAATAATTTTAACATAGTGTGTGCAGCAGGGATGATATAGAACAGTCACTTGTTTGCAGCTGTTTTGTCAGTTTGTCTAAAGAGATTTGCATTGTAAGATTAAAAAAAAAAAGAATGTATGTGATATGTATGTCTCTTGATTGGCCTAGTCAAAGAGATTTGAAGGATTTTACAGAGTTTCATTTATACGCAATAGCAGCAGTGAAAAGGGAAAATTAAAAACCAAAATACTAAAACTATCTTCAGTAAGATGCGAAACCTATTGACAGCTAGAGAGATAAACATCTTTTTCTTCTTCTTTTGTCGTCTCACTGATACCAGGTTGCAGTCAAGTGTCGTGGTTTTATGTAGCTGTCTTGCGCTTCTCGGGTGGCATCGTTCAATGTTATGTATTTTTAGATCTGCTATATAGTAGAGAAAAGTGGACAATGAACAAGAGACTACAAAATTGAATTGAATCTCTGGAGATGTAGACATACAGAAGAATAGGTCGTATTTCAAGAAAACAAAAACAATCAAATACAGAGGTTCTGGAGAGACTGCTGAACAAAGAGAAAGTTACTGGAAAAAATGTAAAAACAACAACAAAGAGACAATTAAAATAGATTGGACAAATTTAAAAAACAAAATTTGTAATGTCATACTTGTGGGAAAGGTCAAGGACAACGATTTACGTGGGAGGGTTGCCTGACGACTGAACTGAAGGAAAAATAGTCCAATCCACCCCCCCCCCCCCACCATCCCCCCCCCCTCCCCCCAAAAAAGATACTTAACAGAATCCAATAATTGGAGGGAATTACTCTACTCTCAGTACCAAGCAAAAATTTTTTGTTAAATCCTTATAATGTGGCTCGAAAAAGGAGTAGATAAATGCCTACGAATGGAACAAGCAGGATTCAGAAAGTGTTGAGGAACAGCTGAGCATATCTTCACCCTACGTAACATTTTAGAACTATGCAATGAATGGCAGTGAAGTATATATATTAATGTTGTGGACTTTGAGAAACCTTTCGACGACGTCCATAGAGACAGTCTTTGAAAACTATTACGACATTATGGAATCCCAGAAAAGATAGTACAGAAAATTACAATACGTCTTTTCCAGTAAAGACAGGTGTAAGACACGAATGTGTTATGTCATCATTCCTCTTCAACCTTGTGATTGATTAGATACTAAAGAACAGAGTAAACAAGACATCGAGGGCATACGACAGACACCATTCACCATGCTTGAGGTCTTTTATTTTGCAGATGATATAGCACTCCTATCACATGAACACGAACATCTACAAGAGAAAAGTAACAGACTACACAGCAAAGCAGAAATGGTGGGATTGAGAATAAATACAACGAAGACTAAGATCATGACAAACAGTCCAAACCAACAACCAGTGAACATAAATAACCAAACACTTGAAAATGTAGAACATTTCACATATCTTGGTAGTATGGTGTCCCTACTAGTAGGGACAGAGGAAGACATACAGTCAAAGCTAGAGCTGCTTTTGGAAAGATGAGGCAAAATCCAACAGTTACTGCAGAGGAACAAAACTCCGACTCTACAAGAGCATCATTTTGCCAGTTCTTCTTTATAGAGCAGAATGCTGGAGAATGACCAAAACGGATGCACACAAGCTATTTACCTTCCACCACACATCTCTACGTAGAATTATCAAAATTTTCTGGCCAGATACAATCTCAAACACTAAACTACTTCAAGTCAAAAAGAAACTCTAGACAGTATGATTACCAAGAGAAGATGGAAATGGTTTGGCCACCTTATGAGAATGAATCCTGATATACCTGCTAAAACAGCTCACATATGGGTACCAGAGAGAAAGAGAAAAAGGGACGCCCAAAAACAACAATGAGACGTACGATGGAAAGTGACTTGAGTGCGGCATCTTTAACTTGGAAAACTGCACTGAAAATTGCACAGGGCAGGAAAGCATGGAAAGTCCTCTCTAAAGCCTCCTGTGCCACTAGGCATAAAGGAAATTAACATGACATGACATAATCACCACTTCTGGACTGCAGTCTTTTTCCAGAATCTGAGTATTGCATGCGCATCCTTTTTACAGATCTGACTTATTTTGTATGCAGATACACTCCGACTTTAAAGCAAGCTCCCAAAAAGTCGACTTTTACAACATACTTTTGGGTAGGCAGTAGATCTAATCTTGTTTCCTCTATAAAAGGGCCACAGAATCCACACCGGAAGCTAACGGGGATGTCCCGAGTGCTGTGATGTCGGGTTTTAACTCATCTCAACTCTAAAATTTATATTAATAAAAGGGGAAGCCTCAAAATTAATTTTTTAACACAATAAGTTCAAAAGCAATCTCAAAGATAGGTTTGTGGTGGTGTGTGATACGTTCACAGACTCGGCGATATCAGAACTGATACGCTTGCGAGAACCAAGTGATGACTGAATCTACAACCATGACCACACCCCCCCCCCCCCCCAAAAAAAAAAAGTTTAAAATGGTGTGGTCAGACAAGAGATATACGCAGGCAGCCAAAGAAACCAACACAGAACTTGGTTCGTCAGCGGCTACGCGCTAGGAAATTACCCAAGGAGGGGATCCTAGCACTTATGGAGTGATTAGTTGGATGTACAATGCGAATAATCTGTCGACTAACTAACCTACTAACTAACTTGGTACCCACATCATAACTAGGCAATTCACTTCACCTGGGCTGTCAAGAGAAGGAAGGAAATGATATATGCCGTGACAATCGGAACGTTAGAAGGAAAAAAAGGTACGAACACAAAGAGACAAAGAGTCATTAGAAGAATAAACGTATTCGATATAAACTGCGCTACACAAAACAGAAAAAATTGGCCACGCATGATAACTAAAGATACAAGGCATTTAATATATGAATGTAACAAATTCAGAAGAGGTAATTTAGTTGAATGCATATGATTTTTTTTTTTTTTTACTGATACAAAATTAAAAACTATATTTTTCTTTGCAAATTGAAATAGTGAGGTAAAAACAATATATTCTCCTAATAATAAACAGCTATTACATTTATTTTTGGGTATACCTTTACCTTTTGTAGCCAATAGTGTGTGTTTGCTTTTCCACTTGTAAACTACAATTACTCACAATTGAATAGTTACAGTGCTATTATATATATATATATATAATATATATATATATATATATATATATATATATATATATATATATTATACCTCTCTTTTTGTCATCGCCATTTAATAGCTACTTCTAATATGTTTTTCGTTTATTTCAAACGTGAAGATTTTGCTACTCAAAGGATTTATACTTTTGGAGCTGCAAGATCAATAACATACATGTTATTACACTTGCTTGTGAATACTTCAGATGTTTGGTATAATAAATTTTCCTTTTTGTGTTCAAACATGTGTGTAAGAGTGTGCGTACCTATGTCTGCTGACTTATTCTTCAATATCGTAGACAGTATTTACACTAGTCGGAGCGCACAAAACGAGTACTCTCAGACTACCAAATCTCAATTTGTTCGTTCTCAAGATTATTATGCAGTTCAAACACCCCGGAAATGCAAACAGAAAAGAAGAAACCGCTAGCTCAATCATCACATGGCAGGAAACATTACAAATCGGGCTTTGAATATATGTCCCGCTTACAATGTCTGCAACTGAATACTTCCATCTGCTCCATTGCTTCCAACCTAGATTACTGTATACATAAAGTTGCAGTCCTCCAGAAACACCATCAGGAAAGTTGTAAAGTTGTCATTTACTAAAGCGAACGCGTATAACACAGAAATGATTCTCCACTTTGGGGGTGGAAGGGGGAGGGGAAACACTTCTTAATCTGTTATATTAATGACATATCCCGCCCTTGATGTTTTCTAATGTTTGATATTCGGTGAGATATGTGAACTGTTTATTGGTGTTTGCAATATTTCATTTTTTTTAACAACTTTTCATTTAAAATACTTTGGTCGAAATTGCGCTTGAAATGTGTTCAGACTTTCCCGATAAGCTTCTTTGTTAAATTTTTAGTTCATTCATTTTTCTTTGTTGTTTTTCTTTTGCATTCGTTTTAAAAAGCGGTTGGTGTGTTGCGCTGCGGTTTTCAGTTAGGCTATACTATCTGCAGCTTTTGTTCCAGCAAATCTTTAACGTGAATACTTCATACAAGCACAACAATATTGATATTTGTTTATAACGTTTGTACTTATTCAGTCTACTGTCTCTGGGAAGACACTATAGCTTGCAGGTCGCGTTGGTTGCACTTTGATCGATATGCTCAATTTTTCTCTGAGATAAACATATTCATGATTAAAGCTTAGATTTCCTCATTGCCGGCGGTTAGCTGGTCATGTTGACTTGTCAGGCAGAAGTATGTCGACAGTATATGTTGAAAAAGAAATGGGGCAAATGAAACTAGAGAAATATGTTCGAAATTCAATGTTAGAATATTCTTGTGTATTGTCGAATGCTATTATATATATAAATGCTTTATACGCCTACACACACTTACTTGTACACATAAAGACACATACATTTTCGTATATATATATATATATATATATATATATATATATATATATATATATATATATATATATATACATATATAGAATACATAATTCGGTAGAATATAATAGCAATGTTTAGTAGAGTACAGTATTTTAAGGAATAGTACAGTATAGTATAGTATTGAATAGGACACACAGTGCAGTATAGTACAGTACAGTGAAGTACAGTGCAGAGCAGT